ATTAATTCATCACCAAAGCCAAAGACGTATAAATCTTCTCGTTTTATCTGTCAACCAACACTCTGAATTATTCAGTGTTCGCAATCTCACGAAGGAAGGCAGAGAGAAAGTGGTTAGGAAAGTAGCTACTGAGCAGCAGAAGGGACTCAGCTGAGGAGCACAGAACGAGTCCAACCCCGGACAATCTTTAGTCCCTGAAAGGAACTAGAGGCAGGGTCTCATTGGAGACTCCCGGCTCCTGTGCCACCAGGGAGGTCACCACCTCTTCTGCTGAGATGGTTTGGAAAAGAACAAGACCATATGGGAAATGAAGATAAGAAAACAAATACGCTTTGCCTATTGGTATGCTGTCTCCCGCCACACCGCCAAGTGCTTTGACAACTAGGTTATTTAATGGTGGAAGCAAAGCATACGATGGAAAAATAAACATGAAGGGATACTGTGAGTAATGGGAGAATGAAAATATGAACCTTATAAGGACATTTAGATTTTATATGAAGTATTTGACTTCCTCTCCGGGGTACTACCTTCCCTCTGCACTTTTAATACACAGAAGCAGTTGTCTTCCATAGTGATAAAGGTAGTTACTGAACCATGCTAAGTTGAACGCCATGGTGTCTTATTAACTTATGTGTATTTTATAGATAGGACAAAGCGTGGACCATTGTTACTGTTCTCTGTCACCTGAGTGGCCACTGGGTAGATCACAGGAAAGGGGATGGAGAGCCTATGAGAAGAAACTGAACAAGGAGGAAAAGGAGATTAGATTTCAATTTTTAAGGAGCTCATTCTGTCTTGAAATCCTAACCTAAGATATTTGGGGAACCTTAGTAGTCTTCTCTCCCTATTTCATAAGTGATCTCAGCATCACTTAGGCTGCCCTGGACTATAGACTTCAGACAAATCTATAGCATAATCAGTATTTTAAAGATTACCTCCAAGCAAGGATAAGAGCATGGGTAAAAACTACCAACTGTTTAGAGGGTTTCTGTTTTTCCCATCTGTCTTAGTGAGAATCCCACTACAGGGCAGGGGAGAGGGGGAGAGGATGGCTGTTGGTTAGCAGGAGCTTTGAGGATTTAGGGCTTCTCAGAAAGTTAGGCAAAGGATGAAATATAGTGCTTTAAAATAATTTTCTTGCCTCAAAGAAGGTTATTGGATTCAAGACTCTAGCTTTTTTATGCCTTCTGTGACCTGCACCTAAAACATATTTTGTAAAACAATTGCTAACCAAATCTTGGTCATGAACTAGAAGAAAGTCAGTGTATTTTAGATAAGAATAGGAAGCAGACATCACTGGAAAGCTCTGGGGAGTCCTTTTGGTCTTCTTAGTAAGAGAGGCTCTAAGTCACAGCTGGGGTGCACAGAAGGGAACCAAGGTTGGGATTTCTTGGTAATTGCTACTTCCCTTGATCTCAATCTCAAAAACATTAATTAGATATAAAAACCATCTACTTAGTATCAATACATTCACTCTCCAAGTCCCAAATCAGTGGGATGGGATTATTGAGAGAGGACAACCAAGAGTAGAATTCATAAGCTCTCTTATCTTAACCATGGCAGACCCTGGGATTCGGTGTATCCTGCAGCTCTGCTGAATATGAGAGGCTTGTGAGTGGTCTCTGGCCATTTCTTTATTCTCTTCTTGTCTATCAACCTGAATCTTATCAGTTGCCAGATAACGAGAAATTGGAATGAACACCAGTCAAAAGGGGTTAGAGAAATCCGAAGCACCAATCTTTGCATAAAGAAGGTAGAAAAAAAAATAAAATTTAACCTGCATAACAGTTGGCCCTTTGGGAAGGGAGATAGGAGGTGAATAAGACAGAGAAAGTGGAGGAAGAAATTAGAAACCCTTCAAGTGCTCTGTTCTGCAAATTCCATCACTTACTACTAGTAGCCGCTTTTAACTGTTCACATCTTGAACAACTACAACAATATACGTATTATGGAAAGACCCTGGTCTCCTCTAACCTCTAACTAATGCATAATCTTCATCTCCCTGGTGATCATTTACACTAATTAGCAAAATTTAGCTAATTATCGCTCGGCGTTTCTGTGTTTAATTATGGCTATTAGTAATAGTCTGTCTGGCTCCCCTCGTCTCAGCCCCCACCCTAGTCTGTCCCTTTCTTAGGAGATACGTTTTCAGTTTAATGAAATTGCCTTTTTATGTGAGTGTGTGGATATAGCTCTTGTCTAGGCTTCTGTGGTTTCCCTTGTTTGTTCTGTCTTGTTTTAGAAGTACAGCCGACCCAACAGAAGTCAGAGGAGAAAACAGCAACCAGGTTAGAAGCCGCTTTTGGACATTCTCTCAATCCCACCAACCAACCCCTTCGACCAAACCTTATACTCCGTGAGCTGCTTGACAATTCCACTGCATGTGCTTTGAACAGAGAGAAAGAACCAGCATGAGTTGGCATTCTCTCAATGTGTTTCCACTTAAAACGACAGGCAGCTTGGAGCAGGAGCCCCGGGGTAGGAGGCGGTGGAAAGAATTACTTTTCTAATGGGGGTCTGCATGCCTCAAAATACAAGCCACGGCAGGGCCCCTAGAGAGGTTCGTAGCACAGCTCAGTGGAGGGCTGCTCATGCATTCCCTCTGCCTTTCCGCTCCCCATTCCCCTCATCATGAGAGTGGAGCGCATAGTAAACACTTCTTGGAACAATTTACTACAGCCAGCTCCTGCCTTCGCTGCAGACACCAGCCTTTGAGAGGGAGCCTATTCAGCGCTGGGTCTATTCTAATGAACTGTAGGTCTCTTCCTTCAATAACTATGATGCAAAGAGGGTTGTCTGAAGCAAAATATATCATACGTGGCTCGTGCGAACCAGCCCATTCATACTGACTTTAATTGAATGATCATCTGCATGAATTGAGAATCAAAGTTGCTATAATTTACAGGCGTAAATAAAACACGGCCTTAGCCTTATCTGACATATCGCTTTGTCTCTCATAGTTAGCACTATTAGGCATGCTGTTTAAGGGATAACTACTCTCCAACAAACATAACAGAAAAAAAATATATATATAGCTGACAAACTGAGTAGTAACAGCCACTGGCTGTTGAATATATTTTCTGCTGTCTTTGACTCGGTTGTTCTCCCCAGACCATTACCACACAGGTAACTTTATAGCAGTTTCAACAGCTCTAGGCTCCTGCCCCAAGGACCTGCTGTCTGCTATTTCTTCCCAACTATCCCCCAGACAAGACCGGGGAAAGGAAGGGTGAACGCAAGGTGAATGAATGACTCCTCAATGTGCAGCATCACTGGGACTTGTCTGACTGAGTTGCCTGCCACCAAGGAGTGGGAGAAACAAGGTGGCAAAGGGTAGAGAGTGTGTTTGCAGTGCCATGAATCGGGGTAGCAAGGGGAGGAGAACCTTTTATTGGAAAGTGGGTGGCTGAGAGCAAACAGCATTTGCCAGTAAGAAAAAGTGACAGGTTTCCCCCCTTATGCACATTGAAGCCTTCTCGTCATTTTAAATTGAATTTTCCTGCTGTTCCCACCCTTGACCCTACCTGAAAGACGACTGGATTAAGGATTAGCAATGCCCCAGTAAAAGATAAAGAGCAGAGAGACCCACCGTGCCCTCCTCGAAGGGAAACAGGGGAGCGATAGATAGAAATAGGCACAGAGTGGTGCTTGCTGCCGTGGAAATGATGCTCGTGCTGAGAGTGAGATCCCGGAGAGGAGGAAGAAGAGGAGGAGGCTACGTTAGAAGAACTCCACACAGAGCTGACGATACATCCCCAAAAGAGGGACCAGATCCCAAGCGTCCAGGCCGGCCGGCGAGGAGGGCTCCGTCTTGCATGGATTCTCAGGTGCATGGTCAACGCACTGGACCACTACAGATGGGCAGTTTAAATTCCAGCCAGTGAGCAATAACGAAGTTCATGATGCCCAGGGGCCCATCATAGCAGGAAGGAGAGTTGTCCAATTTGGGGATGGGGGAAGCAATAAGTGCTTGCGGGGCAATGGTGAATCTGTTTAAAAGGGAAAAGGAAAAAAGAAAAAAAGAAAGAAACTGCAAAAAGAAGCTGAAATTTTTTTAAAAAGATAAGGCAGAGCCTTTCTTTCCCCCCACCCCCCTGGAGGTGGAATTTAGGATGCGAGAGTCGACCCAGGTACAGCAAACCTCCTGGAGAGCTCCGGCTTGTCACACATTTCAGGGAAGGACCCGCGAGACTTCTTCCTGCTCTCTAGGTGCCTCAAGTCCGAGGTTTTAACTGCATACTCTGGAAAGCCACGCGGGGAAAGGTGGAAATGAAGGAAAAAGACAAAGCAGGAAAACCCCAAGTAGGTTCACGCTAGTTTATCCCAACATCCAAGGAGTTTTGACATTTTTTTTTCCTTTCTTGTTTCGACTTCCAAGCGATGCAATGCAGAACTGCCAGGCAAAAGGGGGCTGCAGGTGGGAGAGTTCTCTTGCTCCCGGGCTCCCGGGAGTCTCAGTGGAAGGGCGCGGAGGCTGTTAACCCTGAGCGTTCTGGATGAGCCGCCACAGTAAAGCCGCGTCAGTTCTGGGATCCCAACGGGTTGAAAAAGCAGCCAGCAGCAGCAGCCAGAGAAAGATTTGATCAAGAAGGACCAGGGGGAAAGAAACAGCACTGAGCTAAGCCACCCAAACCAGCGGGTAGGAGATGGAATGGAGCCGGGTGGGCTCAACCAGAGAGCGCGCTAGAGGAGGTGGCCCACAGGCAACGGAGGTGGCCAGGAGGTGCGGGCGCCCGCAAAGTGCGCGCAACTGGGCAGGCACAGGTGAAGTGAAGCAAGGAGTTGGGGGAGCCAAATTCACAAATGGGCAAGTCATATGCAAATAGCGCACTCGAGAGAGCAAATCAGTGCAGCCCGTGTCCTCTGCCGAGGGACTGGCTGGCTCCAGAGGAGGGAGGGGTGGAGCCGCCCGGCATCCTGGCCCTTCCCATTCAAGTGTACGCAGGCTGGCTGGCCCCTTGCTCTCACGCACCGGCGCGTACCAGGCGGTGCTTTCTCGCCTCACTCTTCCTCGGTCCCACCCTCCCGTGCGTGCACGCCGGAGACCCACAGGCCTCCGTTGCTGTTCCTCCTGCCTCCTGTCTGTAGCTCCCTTCCTGCTCCTCTCCCAGGATCCTTAAAACCAAACTCGGCGATCAAGGTGCTGTGAAGGTTTTGGAAGGAAGGCAACAGCACAGCCCAAGTATTCCTAAACCAAAATAAACCCGAAGTCTGCAGGCACACTGGACTGCCTGAGGTAGGCGCTCAGCTTTTCTTGCTGTGCCTGGGGCAGCCACTCTCCAGTGCGAGTCTCTGCTGAGATGGAACAGGAGATCCAAGACAGCACTTCTGGGACAACAGATAGGCGAAAGAATCCGTGTTATTGCTCTCCGAAGTAAAGGTTAGAGGGTGGGTGGCTCAGGGACTCTGTAGGGTGAAGGGTTAGGTGGCTGCCAGTCTGCCCTACGAGGTGGCTTCCACCCCACCTTAGACAGAATACTCTTGGAATTCAGGATCCAGAGAGGCTAGTGTCTTCAAATTAAAAGACAGTAAAGTAGGCGTGCAAAGGAAGGAGTGGCTGGCCAGTCCCTGACTTGCTCCGAACATGCTGTTTCAGGCAGGTGGATTCTTCCTTGCGCTGGCCATCAGAGACTGCTAGCTAAATCTTCTGGGTAGGGCATGCGAGCAGGGGGTGGGGAGTGGTGGTGGCAGGGGGTAAGAGGGGAGGGGTTTGGAAAGAGGAAGTACAGGAGTGGATGGGGTGTGCAGCTCCTGTTGGCCATCTGTGACTCCAGGAGGGACTGGCCCAGAGCCCTTTCAGGAAACGATGACACTATCTCTCCACTATTTCCACTCCCTCCGCTGAGTGGGAGCAAAGGCACACTAGAGGAGCGCCCTTCCCAGGCAGGTCCTTTCTGTCTGAGCCTTGCTAGCAGTGACTGCACTTCCGTTCTGAGGGAAGTAGGGGCACACACACACACACACACACACACACACACACACACACAAAACCAGCAACTTGTATTCAGGAACACCACTGCAAAGGTGGATATAGGATGAAGGGGTGCCCAAACCTCCTCTGTAAGGTGTGGCTGATGCCTCCCTCCTTGGGATGCTGGGAGTTTTAAATGGGAAAATATAGAGTACCTCTGGCGTAGGACCTGACCATTGGTAACAGCACTCCCTGATCTCTCGAAAACCAAGCTGAACCTTGAGAAGGTTAGGTCCACAGTTAGGGTCTTGTGCTATTATTGGCAAAGTCAAGAAAAAAAAATCTTAAGCATTATTCCCTAGAGTTCACAATAATTCTTAGTCTTGTCAGCTACCTTTTGATTTAGTTCCTCCAGAGGATTCCTGTTGCTCTTTAAACTTGCTCTGAGAAGCTAAATAAGAAGGAGAACCCAAAGAAAATCATATAGGCATCCTCCTGAATATTAAACTTCATCAGGCGATGAAAGGAGACAGAGACAGAGAACCACATTGGAGCACCGGACTAAAATCTCAAGGTCCAAATCAGGAGCAGAAGGAGAGAGAGCACAAGCAAGGAACTCAGGACCGCGAGGGGTGCACCCACACACTGAGACAATGGGGATGTTCTATCAGGAACTCACCAAGGCCAGCTGGCCTGGGTCTGAAAAAGCCCGGGTCAAAACTGGTCTCGCTGAACATAGCGGACAAGGAGGACTACTGAGACCTCAAGAACAATGGCAACGGGTTTTTGATCCTACTGGACCTATTGGTTTCGTGGGAGCCTAGGCAGTTTCATGGATGCTCACCTTACTAGACCTGGATGGAGGTGGGTGGTCCTTGGACTTCCCACAGGGCAGAGAACCCTGATTGCTTTTTGGGCTGACGAGGGAGGGGGACTTGATTGGGGGAGGGGGAGGGAAAGGGGAGGCGGCGGTGGGGAAGAGACAGAAATCTTTAATAAATAAATAAATAAATTTTAAAAAAAGAATAAAAAAAAATAAACTTGCTCTGACTCTGTTCCAAGGCCTCAAAAGGACATGGATGACGAGGTTTTTAATGTATTCGCCAGTTCCATCAACTAGATGTTCCTGACTCACTTCCTCTATTCCCCAAGACCTTCTTTATGCTGCCTGAATGGAGATATTTACCAACCCAAGCCTTTTAGGGCTTTACTGAGCCTTCTTATGGGGGGAGGTTTCCCTCAACCTTGTCAGGGGCATTTGCCAAGTCATTTCTTCCAGAGTGTCTTTCAGCCTACCACCACCCCTGGTGGCCATTCTACTCTGGTCGTCCTGATTTGTTTCCTTCACAGCATTGTTGACTTGGAGACGTTGATTCATTTGTTCCTGGTCTGTATCATTAAACGAAAATTGGTAAGTAAATGGCAGAGCCTTTGTCCTCCCCTCTGCTGCATCCTCTGCATACAGCACATGGGTAGCAAGTAGCAGCATCTCAGTAGATGTCTGCTGAATAAATGAACCCAGTGAGCCAATTGCCAACTAAGTCTTAAAACCTATTAGCTTCCACACTAAGAGTTTTCGCTGACCCATTTATCTGACTTTAGCGACACTGATCTAACAAAAACAACCCATCTGGAGTTGATTTCTGGAACTTTTAGCCATCTCACCATCACCTTCTTTTGCAAGTTGGCACTGGATACTGAAGATTGTTTTGACTCATCCCAGGGAAGCAAGAGATGCCTAGATGGACATTCCAATTAGTTCTCGGCCAGGCTATAAAGGGAAACTAAACCCTTGATGCGGAATGGAATCTGCAAACACTGCTGGTGTGTTATGTCTGGAAGTATTCATTCTATGTCTCATTCTTATAACTTATTTATTTACTACTCACAAAATGTCAGAAAAAGCAGCTGTGGGTTCCTTTATGAGCACTGTTGAGTAGGGAGAAGGCTAATCAGATAAGAAATCCAAGACTGCTTTCTGTTGCCTCTTCTACTCCAAAGAGCTAAGCCACCGTCATTCTGATAAACTACATACCCCTCTCCAATTTAATACACTATTAATTTTTTCATATGTCTCCCATCCCTGCCTCTAGTCAGCGCATTCTTCTGTGTATGTATTTTCTACCTCCCGTTCTTTTCAGTCTTATTGCAGTTTATAGTAGGCTGACATATATTGAGAATTTTATCTCTGGCAATATGTTGATATGTTCTAAATCCCCCGCCCCAACAGCTATAATCCCAGAAAAATACTCATCACTGCACACCACAGGTGCTCCTTTTCCCCCCTTCATGCTGTCCCCTAGTGGGCCCCTTTATTTGGAATCCCAGACACGTGAAACAGAAGGAGAAGGGAGTCCATGTTTAAGATAGAAAAGGAGAAAAATTGAAGATTTGATGCTCACCAAAGATATAAAGCAGAATAATTTCATAGGAATGATCCATTTTGGCCCCCTGTGTATATTGCTTCATGAAACCCAGATGGAGCTCTGCAAAATCTTGCATTTCTGAATGGAATATGGTGTGTAAATCCCTGTTGTAGATGAGGAAGGAGCTGGGTTTCTCGGGTACATTAGGTTCCAGAGTTTGTCATCATAGACTTCTCCTGGCTCCTTGACTTTCCTCCCCCTTCTCTCCTTAGGAGACTGTCCAGATGGAAAGGAAGAAAGTCTTTGCTCTTAAGTCTCCACTTTGTTTTGTTCATCACCTCAGCTTTCAAGCAGTAGAAAAAAAAATCTGTTGGCTTCTAAAATAAGCCTCCTACTTGTATTTTTCAGTGTGTCGGGCGTCAGGAACCTGATGTGATGTTGCCTTGTCCATCGTCCCTCCCGGTGCATTTTATCTCTGCACATGCCTCTTCTCACTTGGATAGACTCTGACGTGCCACTCCGCTGTCAGCAGGAGGTACCTGTCAAGTTCGCCGCTGCAGGCGCATCTAATGTGATTGTGGACTTAGAAAGAACCAGAAAGCATGTGCCCACAGTCTGCCTGTGTGAGACCGGAGCCATTAGGTGAAGACCCACTTTTTCCAAAACTAAACAGTAGGACTCCTTACTTGCTGTCTCTACACAGCTCCAGTAGGCAGTTCAAGAGGAGAAAAACACAAACAGCGCCCTCCCCCAACTAAACTCTCATAATGTATAATGAAATAAAAGTCCTGAGGAAATACAGGTGACCGTTAGCATGGCGGTAAATATAGCCAAGGGTTCTTCTAGTGACACCATAACACAGTCGAACATTGCTTTATTATATGCCGGGAGATTTATCTATAGCCACATAATTCATTCTTCCGTTCATTTATTTAAGAAAGTCATCCAAGAGAAAAAAAATAAAGACAATTTTGAGTATGTTTCCCTTTGGGGAGTATAAAAAAGAAAGCTTTTTCTTTTTTTTTTTCTTTTAAATATCATTCCTACTTGAAATTGATTTAAATGAAAAAGACAGTAGCTCTTTGTATTAATGTATAGATCAGGATGCTTAGATTGCTCTGGTATTTTTTTACCTTTTATTGTTGAGAACATAGATTTAATTGTTAAGAATATACCGTTTATTGTTGAGAATTTTATACATGAATAGAATATGTTTCGTCTGTGGCCATACTACCCTGAACACGCCTGATCTCCTCTGCCTGTTTCTTATAAACTTTATCATTCCCTTGTCCTCCTTGTGGCTGCAGGAGGAATATCAGGCTTTTAAATGCCGAGCCAAACCTCTTTAGCATTTCCAGATCTTCTGGGTTTGATCAATGGGGCTGGGAAATTGATAGCATTCAAATTTTTATATATCTCTTCAGGGGAAAGCATGAAAAGTCCCCTAGCTAGTTGCACTTGAGATCTAAATGAAATAATAATAATTTATTAAATAGTTATTATTATGATCATTATTTACTTTTCCTCAAATACTGGGCCCAGTTCTTCCTACAGAGGTCGGGCATATAAACGTGTTAGTCTGTACTAACTAGCTACTAGCTATCCCTGATCCAAACTTCTCATGATCACTGTTAAAGCCTCTATCCAGTTTTGAGGAATTAAACAAAGTGAATTATTGTTAGACAGAAACAATACTTTTTGTGTAGTACTAGGGCCTTGCACATGGTAAGCAAACACTCTGCTCTTGAGCTCCCAACCCAAGACAGTCGTTCATTTACATATTTATAGGGTATATCATCCAATCAAAGGGTTGGAGGGCATCTTGAGATTTTACAGTTTTGGATATTGGGCTGTGCTGCTTGGCAGCCTAAGATCAAATCCTAATTATTGTTGCTGTATAAGCCTTGAGACGATCTTTGGTCAGTTTCTGGTTTACCCTTTCTGTTTTAAAATGGGAATACTCATAGAAACTCTCTGTCGATTCAAACAGCTAATGCCTGTGCAGTATTTATCAACAGTGTCTGACCTACAGACGATGATCAGTGCCAATAATCATGGTAAACTTAATAACTCTTGTTGTTTTCTCCAGGACACTCCTTGGAAGTTATCCCCCCAGCTAGCACCTCTTTGCTGTTTACACAGAGCTCCCAGGGAGCAGCCTCAGCAACCCCAAAATGCAGATGGAAATTCTCTACAGGTGCTTTCAACATGCTGACTTGTCCGTGTACACCTTTGGTAGGAAAGAGACTGGCTCCATCACATTCTTCTACATCTGTCTTTCAAGTCAGCTTTGCACTGATAAAGCTCATAGTCAATCCCAGAATCAGATAACACCAGCTATCGAAGCCCAACATGGTTCTGTCATTATTCTCCACCCAAGGATGGGGACATATAGGATCTCAGTTGGCCTTGGGATCTGGAAAGACTCTTCTGGCCCTTTTCTTTCATTTCCTCACTGTCTTCTCTCAAAGTCATAATAAGTTCTAATTAATCGGCCTTTTCCCTGAAAGGTGCACGTTGCTAATCCTTATTAATCTCCATTGATTTCAGGAAGAATTTCGCTATCGTTTAATAGTCTTTTTAAAATGTTGATAAGTCAACCTCTGAACTAGGTACTACTCAATATAGAAAGAAGCCATAGTCCTTGGTCATCACTGCAGGGAATCCGTTTCTTTACTCTGTGAATGTTAAATATATGCCTGCTAGGACAGAATGCTGTGTTAAATCCAAAAGACCCAGTGAGGAAGAGTGTTCAGGGCTTAGGAAGCAAATGCTTCAAAAAGCTAAACACCCAGGGAACTCCCTGAAAAATCATACCATATAGCCCATAGCAATTGGGAGATTAGAGGTGTAAACCAGGTACACATACTAGATAATGGAATTAATCTAACTTGGTGAGAAAAAGAAGACCCTGTGTGGATTCACAGACAAGGTAACACATGCATGAAAAATTGGAGTACTGCTGTCTACATCCTGTGCGTTACTGTTCGACCCTGAGCAACTTTGAACTCTCTGACTTGCTTCCTCAACAGGAGAACAATTAATAATTGAATCAGAGGACATTTTAGTATCCAAAGAAAACATACATTCAAAGAAATAATTTTACATTAATGTTCACTATATGAATTTAACCTAGAAGAGGGGAAATTGCAAAGAGGGCTTTAAAATAAGGAAGTTATTAATATAGAGTGCAGTCATCTACCTACAACTCATCAGAGGCAAACTCCCTGGATGTTAATTGTCCTGCCTGGGAAACTCAGGAAGGAGTCTATTTTCATTCTATGAACAAGATGAATATGACATAGGATAATGAAAGACAAGAAAAGGGAAGGGAAAGAAGAAAACAGGATGGAGAAATTGCAAAGAGACATGAAGGAACCACACAGGAAACACACACATCCACAGTCTCACTGTTTATTTCTAATGCCTGTGTTGCTGCATTAAGAGTTGTTAAGAAAATTCTATAATGATTCAAAAGAGTCATACTGTCACTTATTCACCTTACTTTTGCTGATTTATTCTGTTATTTTTCCTGTATCTGTAGAAATATCCTTGTTCAAGTATTCTACCCCCTCTCCATTCTATGAAGAGTACATAATCTAAGAGAGGCAGGGATCTAAATAAAGTTATTAAATCATTAAAGTTTTTCTGAATTTTTTTTAAATCTCAGTAGTAGAGTGCCTGCCTCTCATAGATGAGGTCTTAGGATCAAATCCAAGAACTACCAAAACAACACACACACTCACACACACACACACAAAGAGAGGGAGAGAGAGAGAGAGAGAGAGAGAGAGAGAGAGAGAGAGAGAGAATAACAGAGACAGACAGTTAAGTGGTGTGTTTCTATCGATTTAATACCCTTAAATTCATGTAACAGAAAATTCTCGAAGGCACATGGAATGAACAAACTCCCTCACAGGAGGAACAGTGCGATCTGAGAAGCTTTGGAAATGTTTCTAGGATGGGTAAGAAGGGCATGGCTCAGTGACAGTAAGGATTTAGCACATCTCAGAGCTGTTAGGGAAGTTGGGGGCTGGGTACAGAGATGAGAGTTTATATCAGAGATAGAACAGGCTGTTCTTAAAATAGATGGAACAGCACTGATATAATATTTTCGTATCAATGATATCTGTGTTTTCAGATCTCCTGCTTCCAATCTGGACAGGCAGAATTAGCTGGTCTTTTCTATCATCCCACAGCACTGTTCAGTTCACACTTGTCACAGACTGTTGTGATCAGTTCGTTTATAGCTTGGCACCCTATGTGATTCATAGAAACATGATGTATTAAACACTTTAGACTTCAGAGGCAGACTGTTTAAGTTCTGGGGTTAAACAACAGAAGTCTGTGTTTCTTTTCCTTCTTTGTTAAACCGTGACCTTGAATAAATTATTTATCCCCTGAAAATCACTATGCTTACAGATGAATATAAGACAATAAAATCCCTGACCTCAAACTGAGGACAATCTCAAACCCAATGGGAAATAACCAGTGGATATCTGTCAAAAAATGAGATATATACAGTATATTTTTGAAAGATGTTCTCTTTCATATGTCATATGTCAGGAAAGGAGCAGGCTCTAAAACGTTTTTCTTCTTCTTCTTCTTCTTCTTCTTCTTCTTCTTCTTCTTCTTCTTCTTCTTCTTCTTCTTCTTCTCTCTCTCTCTCTCTCTCTCTCTCTCTCTCTCTCTCTCTCTCTCACACACACACACTCACACATACACACTTCCTTTTTTTTTTTTTTTTCAGAATTTCTCTAACAGCCCTGACTGTCCTGGAACTTTGTAGTCCAGATTGGTCTTGAACACAGAGATTTGCCTGCTTCTGCCTCTCAAGTGCTGTGATTAAAGGCTTGCACCATCACTAACCCAAAACATCAAAATCTGAAGCTGTTGCAAGATCAGAAGGGGTTTCTTGCAAGGCCATGAGCTCTCCACAACAGGGAACTTTCAAGCAGCAGGTGCTGGATAAGCAATCTGAAGTGAATGGGTGAGGTGCATAACTTCCTTTACAAATTTGACATTCTATGTATATGAAGTTTTCTTTGAGCTTTCCTTGCCTATCTATCACTTAGACATTATTGTTTGGCTTCATATTGAGGATCAAACGCAATTCCTAGATGTTGCAAAGAGGTGAAAGTTCCTTGTTAACTGAAACAACATCCATTAGGGTGAGGAAACTTAGCCGTCTATAAAAGGAACAGTATTGTTTCGTGAGAGTTTCATTTTTACTATTGCATGCAGAACAAGTTCTCTCCAGACACATTAACAATTGTGTTCCTACTTTAGAGAGCAAATATTTTTTTTTTTATCTCTGCTAGCAACACCTACACAGCTGCTGTCCCTGTGATCTAAGAAGACATTGTTCAGTGGTGAAAAGTTCATTGCTATGGAAAAAGTGTGATCACTTAGCTCGATTGTCCTTTATCTCTCAGCAGGAAACCTTGGTGGACCAAGCATAAATAAAAAAAGAATGCTTTTCAATAAAGACATAAGTCTTTAAAACTCTGGGATACAAAGTGGAACTACTTTTTAAAACTATTTTTATTGGTCTCGTGTGTGTGTGTGTGTGTGTGTGGTGTATACACCTGCCACAGCATGCATGTGGAGGCTGGAGAATAATTTGCTAGAGCTGGTTTCAGGGGTTTAATCCAGGTACTCATTTTTGGCAAGGAGCATATTTTCCTTCTGAATCTTCTGAGCAGCCGGACTTTTCTTTTTCTAACAAAAACCAGAACACTCTCCTCAGCAGCTGGTTATAGACAAGCAGTAAGCTAATTATTTAGGGGACATGTAAGATAGAGAAACAGATGTAGAGACAGACTTACTAGTTTAATATTATATAACTGGAGGTTTGGATGGAATTGGCCCCTATAAGCTCTCTCACACAGGGAAACCCTGTCTTGAAAACCCAAAATAACAACAATCAATCAACAACAACAAAACAGTCTACAAATTTCTTAGGCTATCTTGTAGAGCACTGATAAACAATCTCCAGAAGATTGGCATTAGGTATTAATATTTATTGCATGGTGTTTGAGCAGTTTTCACTGTACAGATTATAAAAAGCCTGTCTTAATAGTCTGAAAATAGGAAATGCAACATTGGGATTTCAATAAATTAGTGGCTGAACCACAACACATCCCATACTCAGATAATGTGCATCTGTTCTTATAATTGTTGGAGTCCTAGGAGTTATACACAACCAGGGCTGTTCTGGGTTTCCTGCTACAAATGCAGCCAAATTTGCGTTTATCTCAGACATTCCTTTTTTCCCTTTTCTAGGTCAGAGCGAGCCCTCAGATGATCCATGCCAATTCTGTTACTATCTGATGAATTCAGAAGACGTTCATTTCCCCACGTTTTAGGCATTAACTCTCAAACCCGTGGTCCTGACAAAATCAATTATAATTAAAAAATGCATTGCCCAACCTGGAAACAGAAGGAGAGGAAAATGCATCTGGGGCTCTTTGAGTTTTGATCCCCTGAAAGTGAACATGTTTGGAAGAATATTCCAGAAAAGGACTTTGATACGATCAACACCATCTGCAACACTGATGAGTCTGACGCTTTGCCTTGAGGAATAAGAGAAAAAGACACAAGGAGACAAGCGTATATATGTACGGAGAGCTTAGGACCAGGAAAATTCAGAAGGAAAGGTCTGCAAGATGAAAACGTCTTGTCTGTTTTGTGTATGTAGGGGCTGCAGATATACAGGTTTGTATGTGCCTGTATATAGACCTTAGAGGTTGATGGCAGCAGGTTTCCTTGTTCTCCATTTATTGAGACTCGATTGCTCACTGAACCTGGACCTTGCTGGTTAGGCCGTATGGTCTGGCAATGAGAAAACCCCAAAGATCCTCTTGTATTCTCCCCCCTCCCCAACACCCAGATTGCAAGTGTGCACTACAACATCTGGCTTTTTATGTAGATGTTAGAGATCGAATTCAGGTCTTCATATTGAACAACAACTACTTTACCTAATGAGCTGTTCCCCTGGCCATCTATTTTCTGTGTGTCTCAACCATATACAGAGTAAACAAAGAATGGAGTCTATGTATGACTATACTTTGAAGACACAGTCTCACCCTACCTCCAACATGAAAATACCTGGATATGAAGTCTTTGATGTGACACTGGCTAGAACATATTAGGAAACTTACTTAACCACAGCTCATCTAGAACCTCCAGGGTATTTTGTTTTATTTTCATAAGTTTCCAATAGAAACTGAGACTAAAGAGTTGCCTAGCTTTGGGATAACAATGCCAGCTAGAATATGTGTACCTTCCATATATTCACACTCCATGAACTTCTTCTGTCTGTCTTGATCAACCCCCTACCTGTTCATTTCGAGCAAATTAATACATATTTTTAAAAATGCTGCCTGTTAATTCTCTAGCTCTAAAAGACAATTCACAAGGAGGAGTAGAAGAGGATGAGCGCGCCAAGGGGGCCTTCTCACCTGCTGAGTTTGCTGTGAGAGGGGAACTCTACAAAGGGACTCACTGTGCCTGATCAATTTACTTTTCCTAAAATGACACCTTAGCACCGAGCAAAGGATGAGCAGAGAAAGACATCAGCGCATCCCAAGCACAAGAGAAAGCGTGGTTTGGTGACACTCTATAGTCTTCTTCTTGCTGGATCTATAATAAGACTGAGAGCAGAGGGACTCAGCTCACTCATTCCCCAGCAACCAGCCCCAGAGTCCTGGTGAAGCCTTAAGAGGAGGAAGTGAAGCGCTTTTTGCTTCTTCTGGAATGAGTCTCTTCATGAGTTCCTGCTGGAAGCTGGGGGTGGGGTGGAGCACGGTTGTTGCTTTAGGAGTTACTCAGCAGGTGGTGGTTACTAAATGTGGCACTGGGGAGCAGTAATAAATAAATAAATACAAACTACAAGAAACTCTTGGCCTTCACTTCTCAGCCCCCGCTCTCCCAGAAGAGTTAAAGAAAAATGAGGAAGAACAGAAATAGCTGTGCCCCCACCCCACTTACCAAATGTCAAAGAAACTTTTAATTGCTTAGTTTAATATCACGACAATATGAAAACGTGCAGGGTGAAAAGAAAAACTAAAATTAAAACTAGTCCATACAATTATTAAGTCTCTTCTCTAACTCACTCCATCTCCTGGACATATATTTGACCAGTACCTACCCATAATGACTAATCCCAAGATTACTGTATTAAGAATAAAGCCTGAAGTTAAGCGAGGTCATCGAGTGGTACCCTAATCCAATAGGGCTGATAACTTACAAGAAGATGAGAGACCAAGAGCATACATGTACAGGAAAATAATAGTGATGCGAAGATACAGAGTGCCCACATGGCCATTTGCAAGCAACAGAGATAGGAGGCCTCAGTGAAATACAATCTGATACTTTGATCATGGGCACTGACCAAGGCCCCAAAGCTAAGATGATTTCTGTTCTTTGGCTGCCTCTGCTTGCATTTTGTATTAAGAACCTCACAAAGCTAATGCGAGACTATCGGTGAGAATTTCTGATCCAGGAAAGACTCTTACATTCATCATCCCTTGAGTTCGTGGTTCAGAGTTTTAAGGAACCGCTACAAAGGAGACCCTTTTGGCTCCCTCCCCCAGGGGTGTCATTTTAATTGAAGTCCTTGTGAACCGTGTCTCTTGGAATCA